TTTTTTTTTTTTTTTTTTTTACCCCTGTGTGATGAGAATGATATTCCAGGGAAGTTCACTATATGTACTGGTATGTCACACCCCAACTACAGCATCAGTTCCATGTTACTGTTTTACAGACAAATGTCTTCACTGTGTGTGAAAAATTTTTTATTAGGCTATGCCCTGGTATTTCTTTACTATTTCTGCCATGTTCAAGGGTCAATGTCTGTTCACTCCCTTATGATATGCCTAGGCAATAGAAGACAGTGACACTAACATATAAAAGATAGGCTTTCATTTGATCGGCTTTACTTGTATTTGAAATACTTAGCCCTTTATATTTCAAAGTGGGATTGAAAAAAACATTATGCATGTAAGGCAAAAGACATAACTGGTTATGTTCAAGACATTTCATGTATCTGGGGAAAAGCAAAACTGGAAAATACACCTACAAGGACCCTTTTTCTGACTAGCAGTAGCAGGGCCAAAGACATGGCAAGTTAAAGGACACTAATCATTTTTTGGTCTTCCATCTTGCTCTCTCCCCACCATGTACTTTTGTTTTGAGGCAGGCATTGCCAAAGCAGTGTGCAGATTATGCTTGCCCATCCAGGGCATGCAGCTGCACAGGCAGCAGGGCCCTGCTCCTCCCACACTGCAAAAGAGCTCTGCAAAGCAGGACCTGGGGTGGCCAATGTGGCTGACCTCTTACTGCAAGGCTCTCATTCACATCCTGTATGTTTGCACTTTCACATTCACTTGGACTGGCAAAAGCTCCAATTTCAGTAAAATCTAGAAGGCAAACAGAAGCAGGTATATAGCTGGTTAATAATCCCTCCCAACACTTGAATAAACGCTGAATACTGCATAACAGAACTTGCACCACTATGCTGCAGTCCTAGTGTGACACCTGGTATACCTGAGGTGATCAGGGCTCAAATGAGAATAAACTGTGTAATACTGATTTCTTCTAGTTAACAATCTGATCGCCTGGGCTGGGTTCCCAAGAGGGATGAATCATTTCTCTAAAAGAGAGTCGCTATTTCACAGAATCACAGAATCATCTAGGTTGGAAAGGACCCTGGAGATCATCTAGTCCAACTGTTCGCCTAGCACAGTTCCCACCTACAGCATATCCTTAAGCTCCAAATCGACCCTACTCTTGAACACCTCCAGGGATGGGGACTCCACCACCTCCCTGGGCAGCCCATTCCAATGCCTAACAACCTGTTCTGGAAAGAAATGCTTCCTAATATCCAGTCTGAACTTTCCCTGGTGCAATTTGAGGCCATTCCCTCTTGTCCTGTTGCTTTCTGCTAGGTTAAAGAGGCTCATCCCCAGCTCTCTGCAGCTTCCTTTCAGGTAGCTGTAGAGGGTGATAAGGTCTGCCCTCAGCATCCTCTTCTCCAAACTAAACAATCCCAGTTCCCTCAGCTGCTCCTCATAGGACATGTGTTCCAGACCCTTCACCAGCTTTGTTGCCCTTCTCTGGACACGTTCAAGTAACACTATGTCCTTTTTGTAGTGAGGGGCCCAAAACTGAACAGAGTCATCAAGGTGCGGCCTCACCAGCGCCAAGTACAGGGGTAAAATCCCTTCCCTGTCCCTGCTGGTCACACTAATCCTGACACAAGCCAGGATGCCATTGGCCTTCTTGGCCGCCTGGGCACACTGCTGGCTCCTGTTCAGCCGGCTGTCAATCAACACCCCCAGGTCCCTCTCTGTCACGTCCCGCTCCAGCGAGGGGGACAAGTGACTCAGATTCGCAAATCCCCAATTGGAGCGGACAACAAGTCTCCAAGTTCAAGCATTTATTAACTACCTACAATGCACTAATTGAACACATGCTAACTGGCTAAGTACAGAGCAAGCTGTGGCAAGCAATATAATATGCTTTACATTTCTTAACAGAAGAAAAGAAAAGAGGGAGATAGAGGGAATGGGGGAGTACAGATCACCGGTCTGGGTTCCTGCACTGCTCCTGCTGGTGAGGATTCCAGGAGGCAGCTATCTTCTTCGCTGGCATCCGTCGTCTTTTCTTCACTGCTCTCCCTGGACGGCCGG